TTCCCCTCCAATCACCTTCTTGGAAGTTTTTTACTTTTTCCATAATATTAAGGACATTTGCAATAATAATAATAATAGTAATGATAAGCTAAGAGGTCATATTTCCTTGCTTAGAGTCAACAACTTCTGATTTATTATATTATTATTATTGTTATTGTTGTTATTATTTTAGGGAATAGGTACTCTATAATCAATTGTGGTACCTTCCCTGGAGTCTAATTTTGAGTGGGTTGTACCTTTACTTGAATATTTTTGAGGGGTGAAATTGGGTATCTTCAGGGGGTGGGAATGCCTGGATACTAGATATGGTTTGGCCTTGAATGAAGATAAGCCCCCGGTGAAGTGAAGTACACCATCATGAAGTGAGAGCTACTAAGCAAAAGCTTGGTGATGGACTCTTCGGTTGACTTCTCCATCTTTGGCTTTCATTGGGAATCCACCCTAACCATCAGCCTGATTCTCTGATGGGGATTGGGAACCAGGATTCCTGTATGCCATGTGGCAGAGGACTTTGAACCCATCATTCTAGGCCTTTCCTTGATAGACAGCCTCGAAGAACATGCCATTTTGCACTGCACAGAATGTATCAGAGTCCCTCCAGGTTTTGCTGAAATGTACTTTTACTAATGGGGCAAACCAGGGAAATATCCTTCTGGAATACTCCCTTTCTTTATTGCCAGTTGTATGAAACCTGTTGCTTCCAAATGAAGAGACATTTGTTTGTTGCTCTTCTAGCGATGGGCATAGCTTGGGATTAAGTGAGTACTCTCTGCAGGGCTGTCAGATTTAGCAAATAAAAATACAAGACATTAAGTTTGAAAGATTTTTCTAATTGGCTGTGCAATTTTGTAATTTTCTGGGGGGAAAAAATGAATACAGAACATTTACGACATCTTAATAAAGTCCATACAGGATGAAGGACTAAAATCACTAAATACGAGACATATCCTGTAGACACAGCATGCCTGGCATTCTTCACTCTGGTATTATCATTACTATTCAGAGTTATATGGATTTACCTACACATATGACATGTTTGGCTTTTGTACTCCTATGTCAATTATGTCCTTTGACTTCCACAATCAATTATTGTAATTTAGGAATTAACTATAAACTGCAATTACCAGCTGTCTCTTGGTTTTCTATTTCTTTTTTTTTTTTAAGATTTTATTTATTTATTTGACAGAGACAGAGAGAAGGAACACAAGCAGGGGGAGGGAGATAGAAGCAGGCTTCCTGCCGAGCAGGGAGCCTGATGCTGGACTCGATCCCAGGACCCTGGGATCATGACCTGAGCCGAAGGCAGATGCTTAACCAACTGAGCTACCCAGGTGCCCCTTGGTTTTCTATTTCTTATACACCAGCAACATACCAATTGAAAAATAAAAATCCCTGTCCCCAAATTTTGGCCACCTAAATATCCCCAAATTACTAATCTGAGTTAACTCTTTTTAACCCACAGGATAATTTGACTTAATAGAGTAGATAACAAAGATGAAGAAGAGCCAGTGAAGCACGTGTTAAATAGAAAGGAAATTGAGCTCAGCAGAACTGACAGAAGATGAAGATGAGATGAACTGGTTGAAGCCTTATTTCTGCCTCCTGTTTCTTTTTCATTAAATATTTAGCAGAAAGCTTCGGGGAAAAAGTTGGACTTAAGCCATCAGTGTTTCTTAAAGGCTAAGAAAATTGCTGTCCACAGGCCCGAGAAGGGGTGAGCAGCCCATTCTGATGAAAGATAAACTGAAGTTTACAGAGGGTTAAATGTAGGTAGTTAATCAATTAGGAGTGAAATGTTAAACTTTAGACATTCAAGTGTGTCTTCCCAGAGGAAGAAAACTAAGTGCATCTTGGACCTATCCAGAGTCAAATGCTGGAATTCAAGTGCACACCACAGAACATGGAAATCAGGACTTGAAATACTAACATTTCATTTAAAAAATACCATCCCAGCAAGCTTTGATAAAACAACCTGCATTCAAAATTACTTGCTTCAAATGTTTAGCAGGCAAAGAAAAGTCTAGCAAGAATGAAAAACCAAGATTGAGAGACTAGCAGTCTTCATGCTGCCACACGGTCAAATGTCTGACCCTTTGACTATAGTGACAAAATACAGAACCAAGCCTGAAGGTGAGGATGATCCTTTACTGAGCTACCAGTGCAAAGGCCTAGGGCCTTCTTTGCTTTTTGTCTCTCTTTCCTTCTTTCTCCAGATGATCTGAGTGCTGAGGATCCAAGGAAGAGAGAAAGAATCATACAGGAGTAGAAGTGTCACTTATTTATAGATTTTAATTTACATTTAATGGTATCAAAATCACCATTAATTAAAATAGAAAATTCCATTAAAAAAAAGTCAAATGAATCATTGTTTAGAGTCATCTCAAAACCTGGTCCACTTGTTCATGGCATTTTTCACTTTTAGCCAGTTATTTTACATTTCTGGAGTCTCGTCTGGTGCTGTAATATCCCTCTGCATGAGAAAGGGAACCAATGTGCGACTCCACCCCAACTCCAAAGGTGGCTCCTTGGGAGGATCAATAAGTGAATCTTGGCTATGCTGTCTGGGACCATTGACTACCAGATACCATGCACGTACAGTATATTTTCTTATTGAAATAAGACACAGCTTGCGGATTACACTGATTTACTGCTATTTACTTTGTGGTTTTTCAAACGGAACATGACATTTTTGAATGGTCTCACTGAGAAGGCCTGATGCATTGGAAAAGTTTCAAAATGCAAAAGCCTTTTTGGGTCAACAACATTCCATTAGTTTGATTACTTCTTAGTTAGGTGTTGAGCATGAATCTGTTTCAGTCAAAAGACTATCCAGATTTAATCAAATAAGTTTGCCACCTAACATCTTTTGTTAGTATGTTAACACCAGAGTATTGTGTACAAAGTAATAATAAGTAAGGAAATGCTAACTTTCAAACCAGATGCAAGTTTAGAACTATTTACAGAATATTATATTACAGTATGGTTTATTGACTTGTACAAGTATTGGCTTTTAAGATACTGCATATTTGTTTTGTGTATAGTGCAAAAGATCAAATGATCAAGTCCTCCAGATTTGGCTGAAATAGATATGCTAAATGAATAAACAAAAGATTTCTCCATCTCACACTGCATCAGTGTACCAAATACAATGTAAGTATGCAAGATTCCTAATCTTGATCACATTCAAATTAGCACTGATGTAAATCCTGTGTAAAGAATTTAATAGTGCAACAGAAAATCTGTAAACATGCCTGTGGCATTATTTTCCTGTTGATTATAGCACAATAGACAATAAAAAAACCACATATAATAACTAAAAGAGCTAATGTCTAACTAAACTAACATAATTTTTTTAAGAAATTAAAACAATCTGTCATTACATTATCAACAGAAAGAGAGAAAAAATTCCTGAATAATAAAAGAAAAAGCCTCTTGTGCATTGAAATTGCCCCTTAAACTTCTAGAACTAACTTTACCCCTGTTATTCTTACATCTGTGTTAGATGTTTGGCTCCAGGTCAGAGGTTTCAGCTACATCTTCTCTTCTATGGAAGGACATTTGAAAATGTGGTAGCATAAAGATATGACCACATTTTCTGTAATCCATAGCATCATTTCACTGATAACCCAAATCCAGATTAATTTCCCCTTTTTCTCTGAGCCCGTGTCCCCATTTTTATAGAACAAAGCATATGTGAGCACACTTGTTGACGACTCACTGTCTTAATTGCAAACGTCTTTCAATTTCCACAATTATGCTCGAAAAGCCAGGATGTGCCTGCATGTTGTGTGCGCGTGCCTGTGTGTACATGTATGTGGATTCACGTGTACGCCTATGCAGTGCCTACCCACCTACAGTCACATTCTTCTTGAGTGAATACACAAGTCTGTCCTGGTTTGAATGAAATGAGAATTCACCTTTTGCACATTCAGCCAATCCCTGCCCATGTATATCCTTTGCCCCCCAAAATGTGGCTCCTGGCTCCCAAGTTCTGCCAAGAGCAAAATGTTACCCCATACCACTTGGTTGCATGAGATTTATTTAAATACTGAGGGCATTCTTTACATATCATCAGATTATCAAATTTCGTTCATGCTTCAAGGAGTCATCTGTATATGAATTCATTATCCTCGGGTCTTCTTGTTCCTCATGGCCCCATCCAACCTTGTGGACTTCAACATCTGAGCAAATTTCCAATTGTAATGCGGCTTCAGTTTTCTTTTGTGTTAACGATAGTCAACAAGCATGTGCTTAGCATGAGTGAGACAACCATTACTCTCAAGCAACTTTTTTCAATCTTGGGATACCAGTGGCAGTTCCTTGGCAAACAAGGTATTTTAATAGACAAGGAATGAAGTGGCTGACAAGAATATTGGCCCATAATAATAAGCTGAAGAAAGAAGGACAGGTCTGGAGGCCATGTGGGTTTGGGACCCTGAGGGTGCTGTGGCTTCAGAAAGTTCCCTTGAACACTTTCTTGAGTGGACATTTTTCAGACTTTCATTTGTCTGAAATGACTTGGAGGTCTTATGAAATTACCGACTCTGGTTTCTCTAAGTCTGGGTGGGGCCTGAGAGTCTATATTGCTAATAAGCTCCCAGATGGTGCTGATGCTGCTGGTTTGTGAGCTACATTTTGAATAGAAAATGGCTAGAACGTTCCAACAAAAAAAAATTACTGTGAACAAAAGAGTCAACTCCATTCGTGTATGTTTTCACAACTGTTAACTCCTGATTTGTTCAGTTTCACTCTGTACAATTAAATCTGATGAAAGCAGGTAAGAATGGAATTATTATAATTTTATTATTTTTGTGAGTACAGAGTCCCCTTGACTTGCCAGAGAGCTTCCAATAAAGATAACATTTTCTCTGCTCGAAAAGAGGGTGTTGTAAAGCAATGGCATAAAGGAATACTGAACCACATTTCAACTCTCGGCCCAACGTCTTTGATACTTGTTTTGAATAAATACCTTAAGTTATAGCTGATATCCTGTATAGAAATGCATTTCCTTTCAACACCAGCATTGCTAAATGTCTGTCCACCCAGCACAGCATTATTTCAATTGTCCTACGCCATGTTTTTGGAAATATAGCCCCATTTTAGAAAATAGGAATTTTGAGAGTTTGCTTCAGACAAAGCATTTTAAAAAAGGAACTTTCTCAAATGTGGAAATGTTTGCTTAGGTGCCAGATCAAAGGAAAAAAAATGGATTTTGTATGTCTGTATAGTTTTTTATTTTTTTATTTTTTTTTAAAGATTTTATTTATTTATTCATGAGAGACAGAGGGAGAGAGAGAGAGGGAGAGAGAGAGAGAAGCAGAGGGAGAAGCAGGCTCCCAAGGAGCAGGGAGCCCGATGCGGGACTCGATCCCAGGACCCTGGGATCATGACCTGAGCTGAAGGCAGACCCTTAACCATCTGAGCCACCCAGGCGCCCTATGTCTGTATAGTTTTTTAGAATGAATCCACACATTTTCATTTTCACAGTGACCTTTGCATTCGAAGGGAGCTCAGGTGTGGAAAGAGCTCGCAGAGTTAAACCTGGAGTGACCGCGGCCGTCAGACGTTGCTCTGTTGTAACAAAAGAGTTCTCAGTTCCCTTTCCCTCTGATCCTCCTGCCTGTACTTCTCCTCAAGTTTCTGCTTCTCGGAATCTGCGCAGTAAAAGGTACAATCTGGGCTCTTCCGGATCTGTTCAAACTGACTGAAATCGGCCACATACTTTCCATTTTTTGAGAGAGAAACCACAGGCACAAATTCAAAGCCCCAGTAGATCTCCTCTGGAATATAAGATGTGCGACTCTGGCAGACCGCGCTGGTGGATTCCACGGTGGCATTGAGGAGGACCACGAGTTCAAACTCCTTCTCCTTCAGGTTTTGGGGTGTGAGATCTCTCAGGGGGCTCGTCTCATCCAGTACGTGGTAGAACGTCATGGGCAAAATGAGGAAGGGGCTCTCTGAAGAGGAGTCCACGTGGAATTTGACGGTGGCTTGGTTGAGCAGAATCTGCTCCCCTTCTTTAGTGACGTGGGTCTGGAGGAGTTTACCAGAGAGCTGGCACTGAATCAGGAGGCTCTTCCTCATGTTGGCCACCTGAATCACCAAGCACAACTTCCCGTTCTGCTTGGTGATGACTGCGCAGTGGCTGAACTTGATGGTCTCTGCCCGCTTTTTGGGTCTGGCAATCTTGGCCAGAAAGGTGCCCGTGATGAAGATCTCAATCAAGGTTGTGATAACCAACTGAGCAACCAACAGGAAAATGGCATGAGGGCATTCCTCCGTGATGGAACGGACTCCATAGCCAATGGTTGTCTGGGATTCCAGGGAAAAGAGAAACGCCCCAGTGAGAGAGTCCACTTTCATGATGCAGGGAGTGTGATTCGAAACATCCTCCCTCAGTTCTAAATCCCCGTGAATAAATGCAATGGCATAGTAGATCACTCCAAAAAGGAACCAGGTCATCACAAATGTGGCGGCAAACAGGGTGAGCTTGTATCTCCACTTCATGTCAATGACGGTCGTCCACAAGTCTTGAAGGTAGAGTAAGTATATGCCATCCACTTTGTCAATTCTCACATTGCTGTGCCCACTCTTGGACATGACTCGGGGTCTGTTGGTCTTGGGTCCAGCTCCTGCAGTGTGCTTCACCTGGGGACCACTGGACATGCTGATGTGAATGGCGTCCATTGTCAGGCTGTTGAAATCACCTAAGGAAATGGCAAAGAAAGACATTCCATTACTGTCACATGTAGTAGAACATCCAGAGAACAGAAATAGGATAACCATGTGAAATATGTAGGAATGCATATAGACGTATATAAGAAAGGAGAATTTGGAAGGCAAGACTAGTCTACTAGTACTTGAAGAAGACAGTAGGGTGGAGTGAGGAGCATGGACTCTGGAGACAAGCAAACCTGGGCTAAATGCCAACTCTCCAATTTATTTGCTGTGTGACCTAGGGCAAGCTATTTAACTTCTCTGGATCTCAGCTTCCTAATCTATAAAATGGGAATACAACTTACTCCTCAAGGTTTTTGTGATGGTTAAATGAGATAATAACTAGAAAGTGCCAAAACAAAGCCTTATGCTCAAAAATTGATGCCAATCTTCTCATGAAATCACACTCACATGCATCTACCCCACTGAGTATTATGAATATACATGTATAATCAACTAGCACAGATTTCCAATTCTAGAAAATTTAAACATAATTTGACTGAGCATAGGGTCAGTACTGATATAACTAAAATGTACCATCTATAAGATAGTTTTGATATAGCAATAGGGAATATTAATACATGTCTTAAAAACTTTGGTAATATTAATAAAACTTTTAAAAACTTACCCTTTTGTGTGACATTCTCTGCAACAGAAATTCATTTTCCCCCCAATCCAATGAATAATTTAGAATCCATGACCTCTCTTAGTTCTTGATGACATTGGGAAGGACTAACTTATCAACCAACGAACAACAAACACATAGTGAATAATTACACTTTATTAGTAGTTGGTTGATATGCTGCTTATCAAAATGTCATATTAGGTATGACATTTAGGTATGTCACAAAATTTCTGCTTTACTCCTTTAGAACTAACTAGAACCAACATAGGAATCTCTTGAAAAAAGCTAAAAACAAGTAGGTAAGTATAGGCACCCAACACTGTGGCAGAACAGACCCACTTAGAAGCTGGACTTCCATGCTAAGTCCCAGGGAACGCTCCCCTCTGCATCAACAGACAGGAACAAGCTGGGTGTGAGGCCATATGGCATCTTATACTACCTGCCTGGTGACTGAAATCAGTCACCCTACATTCCTTGAAAAAGATAATGTGAGTGATTACAGGGTAACTCTACCTGGTTGGCATGTTTTTTTTTTTTTTCCCACCTCATTGGCATTTTAAGGATAAAGGAAAAATCCCTTCTTTCAAAAGGACCTGGATACAGTGGTCTGTGATTCATGCAATAACCTTTGCTGTTAGAGCAGCATTATCTCAATAGAAGTTTTGGAAGCAATCTTCTGGGCAAACTTTTTCAAGGAAACTGAAACCATCCATCAGAGGCTAACACTTGTTGAGGATGCAGGGAGTTGTGCTTTTTAATTTTCCTGTTATATTAAGAGCGTGTCATTTACTGAATTGCCCTTGAAATGATTTTTTTTTTCTTGGAAAGGAAAGTTACTTTTTCATTTTCATTGCAAAGAAGCACCCTAAGCTATTGAGAATTTATTTTCTTGTTGAAGCCTATTCCACTTATTTGGAGATCAGTTTAGAAGAAAAATACAGGATATAACTGATGAGCATAGGCTTTATCAGCTCCTCAGCAGCACTTCTCAGTAACCAAGAGGAAAGTGACCACCACAAAGGACTGGGAACCAAACGCCATGCCACCATGCCCAAGCACCTAGTCAAGCTCAGATCACGAGCACTGCCAAAAACAAATGCAGCTTATGTACAAGTAAACACATGCACTTTAAAAAGAAAGAGAGAGAGAAACTGCTAGAAGAAAGTCATGCCATTCAATCCACTGAAATAAAAACAGAGGCATAACTTTTCAAGTGTGAGTGACATACAAGTGTCCTGCGGGCATGAGCGAAGCTCCAAGTTCAATTGGCTGCCAGATTCTGGAAAACTTGGCCCTGTTTACATGAAGGCAATGCCATGAAGCTTCTGTTTTAACCTCTCTTTAAAAGGGGCAATGGGCCAGGCTTTGGGATGAGCTGGATCCTTTCCCTCTTTCTGCTAAAAGCTCTTTTGTTACATTTCTGCATATCTAGTGTTGGAGATAAGGACACCAATAGCCACCCGAGATTGGTGGTCTTAAAGCGGGAACAAGGACCTAGAGCCTCTGGGGTGGGGGTCTCGGTTTTAGCATCTCATTGTGGAAGAGAGTGGCTGGTGGACCACACTCAAAGAGTAAACACCTTTTCCCTCCCTCTCAAGACCCTGTGCCCTCAGACTGTTTACTACCTGGTCACTCCCTCAGCAGGTCAGAAGGCGTCTTCTTCAAGGCAGGTGGGACGTCCTCGCTCCCCTTCACCCACCTGGCTACATGAGATTCTGCTTCTGCCTGAAAGAAAGAGGGACGCGTGGAGTTCACAGGTGTTTACAACGAGACTGACCCAGTGAAACCGACCCTTAACTGTTCCCCCCAGGGCTAGAGCCCTAACATTCACCTTACAATCCCTGATCATCTGGCATGGTGCCCAGAATAGACCAAAGGCTCAAGGAATGTTTTAAGAATTAAATTGAAGCCCCAACCACTGCCCTCCCTATAGAATTCCCACCCTCTGGAGGGAGCTCAATAGTAAAACACCCTGGAAAGAGTGGGTTAACTCACCCCCATTGAGGCCCACTATCAACTGACCAGCAAACAGGGAGGCAGGAAGGGGAAGTGCAGAGGAAGTAAACAGTGAGCATTGGAAGGGAAGAGTCTAGAATATTTTTACCGCCTGTGGAAATGCATTATTACTGTTGAGTCACAGAACATCAGAGCTGAAAATATTGTCAAACCCGAGGCATCTGACACGCATTTTTCAAACAAAGAGATAAATCTGGAGGTTGACCGGTCTGCATCACAAGGATGGCTCACGGCAGAAAGAAAAATGTCCAAAGTCTTTAAAAGCTAGACTGGAGTTCTTGTCAGTACACCACAAATGCCTCTTTAGCCTCCAAAGTTTAACATAATCTGTTCTAAATTCAAAAGGTTCTTTCGCCTCCTACTTTTCTGGAGTTCTTCTTCCTAAGATACATATCTGTAGATCTCTCCACATTTTTGTCTGTCTTACACCCAGGTGTATACATACCCTTCACACTTCCTTTCTGATCCACCAGTTACTGTAAATAGTTACAATAAGCACTCTCTGATCATGCCAATAGTCCCCGTTATCAACCCGGATAGCCTCTCGCACACTTGATTCCCCCAGTGTGTTTGCAGTATTTGGCAAACGATTTCTTATCCATTTGCATCTGCAACTATTATCACTGTAATCATCATCTGTGAAGATCCAGCATCTCCTTCTTTGTACTTATCAATCTTACCTGTATGCTTTATCATTTACACTTCATCATATGCTCTGAATATACGGTATTGTATTCTGCAGCAGACTTTCTTCGTGAAGTCTACTTCATTGTTTATACACATTCATTTCATATAATTTTATGTCACTACCTTAGATTTTTTTTCCTTAGTGATTCTGCAATCTACTTGGCTTCACTTCTAAAATGTTAAGAAATAAGAGCAGTTTCCAAAAGCTAAGTTTGGAAACAACACTAAAAGATATTCTCTAAATTCCCCTCTCCTAATCCCACAAATAAGCAATATTCCCTAGAAACCATTATAGTTTTCTTTAGTCTCTGGAAATTGTATTTATTTCTCCAGTTTTCACTATATTGTTCCAGCCCGTGGGTTGGGATTGTAATCTTCGAACGGTGTTATCTTTATTGAGGTGAAGTCCTTAAAACTACTGAATGGAGAGGGCAACATTCCTCTCCTACTTCAAGCCAGTAACACACACATGGAATGAAGTCATTTTGCCTATGCTGTGGAGCATTTGTTTTCTGAAGATAAAGGAAAGAAAAACATATTTTTGAAGCAGAACTAAAGAGTAAGCGCATTGAAAAAGGTATTTAGCTATATGAAGAACTACACATCCAGTCTTGGGGATAAAACGATGAGAATGGAAAAATGAAAGGGAGTTCCCATCATTTCCTCAGGGAGGACAAAATTCTGTCAAAGAAAGAGGGTCTTAGGAGAATGGATGATCAAAGAAATCAGCCGCACTGAGCTGGAACACCCTGTCCTATCAGAGAAATCAATCTATAAATGACCAGAAAGCCACTGACCAATTAGAAGAAATATGCATGCAAATAATAAGCATGAATAGAGTCAGAATAGAGTCAGAAGTTGTCCAATGTGGGAAAGATGCAGATAAATAATAACAATGACAATAATAAAATAAAGATTCAGATAAGTTATAATCATCGTCATAAATAGTTAACACTACAGCACTGTAATCATCGTTCTCATGCCTTCCATACATGAACTTAATTAACCCTCATACCAACATCATGAGGCAAGTGCCATCATTATCCCCATGAGGAGGAAACAGGCACAAAAACGTTAAGCGACTCACCTAAGTTCCCAACAGCTGCACAATGTGAAGCTCCCATGTCTACCCTCTCTGCCCCTTGACAAAGGTGCTCGAGTTTTAGCTGCATCAGAATCACCTGGAAAGGTCAGAGTTTCTGATATCAGTAGGTTTGGGACGGAGCCCAAGAATTTGCACATCTAACAGCTCGCAGATCTAACTACCACACTATGTCATCTAACTACCACAATATGATATACAGTTCAAACGATATCAATATCTCATTTCCCCGGAACATTCTAAAATAACACTGTTGCACACAGGTACTGAAAACGTCTGGTTGTTCGTTTTCAGAAATGTCCTATCTCCACCATCCTCATAGATGAATGCCAATTACCTAGTGGGCCAATGATAAGTACTGATTTTTTAAAGCATTAAAGAATGATTTTTTCCCCCTCCTAGTTAGTACAACACTGATTCCTTCTAAAAACTTAGTGCTCCGTTGAGTCAAATTTTGGGAGTTTTCAATTTGCCCATCATGATAAAAACTTCATTCTGTGTTCCCTGGTGGGCAGAAAAATAACCAAATTTCATCTACAG